CACGTCACCGTAAGTATAACTGTGAATGCGTCTTTGTGCTGTATGCGTACACATGGTAAAAACGTGTGCGTCTGTGTGTGTGTGTCAGAGAGCAGGGGATCTGGCGGATATGATAACTCGTGTCATCAGGGAGGGACTTGAAGGTCTGGTGCTAAAAGACGTAAAGGTGAGTTGGCTGATTGATGACGGCGTTTGGTAATCAGATTTATTTACTGTTCAATTTCTCAAGTTATGCTTAAACTGTACGTGTAGCTGAAACATTGCGATGATGAGGCTTTATATCTGCGTGTCTCAGAGCACCTATGAGCCGGGGAAGCGCCACTGGCTGAAAGTAAAGAAGGACTACTTGAATGAAGGGGCGATGGCGGACACAGCTGACCTGGTGGTGCTGGGAGCCTTCTACGGGAAAGGCTCAAACGGTCTGTAAAGCCTTAACCATCTGCTTCATTAGGCATGGAGTCTTTTCCCATTCTTGATGCTTTATTTTATTCACCCTGACAATTCTTTTTCTCCATAAAATGAGGTGATTTAAGCCATTTTCACACATTTAATGGATCACTGAACTATAGACATTACCCAACAAAAGCACATGTGGGAATGCAAAGACCTCGTTGCACTATACTATCCAAATAGAGCACTTTTCTCTGGTTTATTTGTGATTTTTACATGTTTTAAAAGTAGAATGGAGGCAGAGCCTAAAGCTGTCAGGGCCTCTCTGTTCTGTGGAAGCTCCAGCTTGTGTTCAGGAGACCGATACCATCTTTACTTTAATGATTCGGCTTCAAATGTTCCTTTTTGATAAAGCTTACAGTTATGGCTGGATCAGGTGACCCTCAACTATTCCTTAGTTATGGACTCAGACTGCTTGGACATTTCCCATAATGCACCGAGCACTTCTCCAGTCACCCCTTTTCTCTCCTGGTGTGGTTAAATGCCGCTACTGCACGCCGTTAACTTTTGACTGATTTCTCTTTATTTTGTGGCCTCTTTTTGTTTTACGCCCTCTTGTGGTGGATAGCTGTTCCTGCTTCCTGTTAAAGGGGATTTCTTTGTTCCTACTGTCACCAAGTACAGGCTTATACTGGGTTGTCTGGGCTGTAGTCTTTATCTTCCAGTACGATAGCCCACTGAGACAACTGCTGTTGTGAATTGGAACTACAAAAATAGAATTGAACTGAACTGAAATGAAATGTCTGACGCAGTCAGGATATTAGAGGCCTTTAACAAAGTGACATCTGATTGCGATGATCTGTGCAGTGCGAGTACAGCGTGTGTGTGTAATAGTCCAGTTAGTCCACACACGCTTCAGTCAGGCAGCTACTTCTCTTGAACAATTTTTTTCCAGCAGTGAGAATTAGTCTGATGCGAAATCTCTCCTGCTGTGTGCTGCAGGGGGAAAAGGACAGCTTCAGATGATTTCCTGACTGTATTCTCCAGACATTTGTTGGAGTTCATGTATGAAAACAGCTTTGAACGGTTAAGACAGTTTTACTTTTGCCCCCAACTTTTAATGTTGCTGTGAAAGACGGGTCAAGCCTTCTGCAGGTGTGACACTTCACGTTCAGCCACAAAGCGAAAATATAAATACAAGATTCTTGCATGTATTATGTTTAGATAGGATGATGAAATTAACAAGACAGCTCCGTTACTCTGGGAAAACATAACCAAATTGGAGGATTTCATATGAAAAATGTGCAGATACAGGCTGTTACATAAGGAGAAGATGCCAATGGGTGAAATAGAGAAGCAGGTGAGATTTGAAGCAGGGGCCATTGAGGAGGCTGGCTAATGAGTGTGCAACAACATAACAAACACAACGAGAAAGGTACAAGTTTTCAAAGCGTGCTTAATGAAACGACTCGTGTAGTTGAAGACGAGCTAATAGAGCAGAAACAATAAATCAGATGAAACGCTTGTCGTAAGAGGCTGTAGGAAGTGAGTGGGAAGGAGAAAAAAAGATAATTTGAAGAGGCAGGTTTTGAGAAGTCGGTGCTGGTGGAGAGACTATTCTGTGGGAAGCAGTTCTCCTAATGCTTGCGCGTCTTCTTCTACCCACCAGGGGGCATCATGTCCAGTTTTCTAATGGGCTGTTACGACCCAGACTCCAAGAAATGGTGCACAGTCACCAAGTGCTCCGGAGGCTACGACGACGCCATGTTGGCCAGGCTCCAGAAAGAGCTGGATGTGATCAAAATCAGCAAGGTCAGAGAGAATCCACTTAGAGGTTAACCAGGAATATTGAGCTGATATCATAAAATTGAAAATTAATCTTTTGTGTGTCTGTGTGTGTTTGTGTCTTAATGTAGGAGCCAAGCAAAATCCCTAGCTGGTTGAAAATCATCAAGAACTATTATCCAGATTTCATTATCCGCGATCCTGAGGTGAGATGTCACTACTCAGCACATTTGGATTTCCCAGCGGGCCTGTTCACGCAGAGCACAGTTGTATATCTGGATACTGCACACCCTTTGAATGAAATTAGAAGTTGAAAGCGTCTCTTGCGTGTATCCACAGGAATTCCTTTAAATGAATTACCCCCGAAAAGCGCCGAGATAATGACGGGCTCTGAGATGGGAGGTGTTTTTAATGCATGCAGTGACCCTTTGTGGCTTTTATATATGATTATGTGTTTCCTGTGCTACAGAAAGCACCTGTGTGGGAGATCACAGGCGCAGAGTTTTCCAAATCGGAAATGCACACCGCTGATGGCATCTCCATCCGCTTCCCCCGCATGACGAGAATCCGCGACGACAAGGACTGGAAGAGCGCCACCAACTTGCACCAGCTTAAAGTAGGATATCAGCGTTTTTGATTTGTAGTGCTTGAGAAAGAATTAGCCGCTGGTCAGTGATGAAGTTTTATTGAGACGGCACAAAAGACGTTTTAGAAATCAGCCATTCATTTAAAACTGAGGCGTATCTTCTAGGGATGCTTGTTGCTAATTGCTTTCTATTGTAAAATATGATGGGGGAAAAATGGGAGGATGTGTAGTAATACAGGTGACGGGAGGAATGAAATAATTAATCCCACTGTTAAACAAAGCACCCAGGGGGACAGCGTGAAGTATGATTGAAACGGCGGGGAGGAGGAGCAAATTTGCAGTCTTCCCGCGAGTATTGACGGATGAGTTGAAATATTGGCCGAGGCAGTAAAACATGCCTGGGCTTAATTATTTGAATCCGGCACGGGTCTTCAATCTCCACTGACACAGAACATTACATCTCTTGGCCGAAGCCCATGTTGTCATTTCATCACTCTGCACAGGAGCTGTACCGCATATCGAAGGAGAACTGCGACTTCAAAGTGACAGCAGGTCCGTCTACATCCAACGATGACAAGGGCTCTTCGGGGGGGGACAGCGGAGGAAGCTCGCCATCGTCCTCCTCCAACAAAGGCGCTCCGCCCAAGAAGACGAGTAAGTTCACAAGTCACGTACATAAAGGGAAATTACATTGTTGTTGTGTGTCCGGATTTACCTAAGATTAGGTTTGAGTTACACTTAATACTTTAAAAAGTGAAGATTCAAATGACCACAATTTATTTGTGGTTAAAGACTCTTGTTTTTAATTTTTGGAAACTTCCCTTTAAAATGCCACCAATGCTATTGATACAGCTTTGTTTACATAATCAGTAAATTCATAACCTTGTATTTGAGGCAGAATAGGTATTGTTAAAATGTTTGAGGCCTCGTTGTTTCATTGTAACTGGGTTAAAGTTTAGCATCTTTGCACACACAATAAGTAAAACCCTCCAGTTATGATCGAGGTGATGCTTTGACTGTGTCTGCAACACAAATGTGCAGAATATGCACTGAGCTTGTTGACAGTCTGGCCTGAGACTGATGAGGGACCCTGAGATTTCAAATGAATCGCTTTCAACTTGCAGGCGTCTCTGCTCTTCCTGGAAACACCCACATAGAGAAAAAGTAGTCTCCATCATGCAGATGTTTATTTAAGAAAATTCCATAAATGCATATGTGAGATTTTAAGATTTATCTGCAGGTTAGTGGACATTTATTAGAGCATTGCTTCTTCTTCTTTCTTTTTTTTCCCCCTGAAGATAAAAATATTTTTTTTAACCAGTAAATTGTTTTCCACCAATGATAATAGAATTTTACACATAAACCAAACACTCCTGCCTAGATTCTGCAGGTTTGCTCGCATCGTGCAAAAGTTTATTTATAAATATTTGCATGATGCTTTAACTGTTTTAAACTTAGTTTACGCAACTAAACACAACATTTCAGAAACTTCTAATACAGGAAATAATATTTCTTATCGTAACTAATCAACTGCAGTAATTTAATAGTGATATCTAATAGTAAAGTACCTCTATTCACTTTTAATGTCTCTACTTAAAGAAGCAGGCTCACACAGATATGTTCATATGCATGTCCTTTATTCTAGACATTGGTTCATGATTCAAGTTAATATAATGCAGAAATAAATTTGCGGACACTTTAAAGTGACCCCAGTGCTGCAAATGCTGCTTTGTTATAAGTGTAATCAATAACATGCACTCTGCAGGCAGCAGCACTCCACCCAAAGCCAAGGCGGTGAAATCCCAGCCTCGCACTCCCAGCTCAGACACACCCAGTGCTAAGAAGGTAATGTTCTTTTCTTTAATGTAGCACATGAGATGTAAAGTTTCATCGTTACAGAACACGAGAATTGCACAAGGCACAAACCCAAAGCTGCAGTGATGACCTAACGTTAGACTGTTTCTTATCAGGTGAAGAAGAGTGAGAGTGTCCACAGCAACGGACAAACTAAAGCAAAAGCTACCTCACAGAAACTGGAGCCAAGGAATGACAAGGTTAGTAACACAACGTGTGTTTAAATGTGTTCTGTGGATGCAGTTAATGTGAAGAAACAAATGCTATTTAGGATTATTAAACTAAATCCATCTTTAAGTTTAAGGTCTGACAATCATAAAACAAACTGTTTGTTAAAAGCTGTAATCCTGTTCTAAAATTAGTGCATCAGTGTGTTGTTTATGGCTTTGACAGGTTATAGATTACAACACTCAGAGGCCAGCTGACTAATAAAATCTTGACAGTTTTAAAACTTTTTTTCTCGTTTTCAGTACAGTGTTAAAGATACAAATATTCCAAATTTGGCGGTTTAGTGGCTCTTTATATTTGCAACTCTGGTAACTGCTGTCAAAGGACAGAAACAGGAACGGGCAGGGGAACCTTTAACCAGCTTATGGACTGTTTTTGAAGCTAGAATTATGCCAATAATTCCCAATTTCTGAAGAAAAAGTTTAGATGTACAATGTTGCGTATATGAGGTCATTAACTGAACCAGGTCAACAGGCCGGTTTGTGCTGAGTATTGGCCGAGCAGCCGCTGTGATTGTTAGATCCAACTTGAATGTTTATTCACATCCTGGTCTGACCTTTACAGAGTTTGTCTTCACTCTGTGAAATGTGGCCACCTCACTAACACCATTCCACTATCTCAAGCAATCACAAGCGGAAACTGGCTGTTTGTTCCTTAATTACTGCCACAATAGTTTATATTTCAACAAGGCCTGGGTGTGCATCCTTTAATGCAGGTGTCCCCTGTGAGACTGCAACAAATTCAGAGTTTGTAAATTCTTCTTTGGACGTGAAGAGATTCTGTTAAGGTTTACTGACTGTTAGAGTTGGACTGATATTAATCACAGACTGAGCTCTACAAAGCCTTTTTATGTCTTTATATCAAATAGTCTTTTTCTTCATTTCCATCAGTGACTTGGTAATATTACACAGCCTGAACAGTGCAGAAAAGCAGAGCACTTTGCTCCCTTGAATGTAGGGAAAGTATTGCTGCAGGGTGTCTGTTCTGCTGACCTCACTGTTTTCCCCGTAGACGCTGCTTGACATCTTCAGCGGCGTGAAGCTTTTCCTGCCCGACTCGGTGCAGGACTTTAACAAGCTGAGGCGATACTTCGTGGCGTACGACGGGGACCTCGTGCCAGATTACGACGCAGCCTCCGCCACGCACACTCTGGCCGAACCCGAAGAACAGAGCCAGGCTCAGAAAGTGACCCCCAGCTGGATCTGGGAATGTATCCGCAAGAGGCGTGTCGTAGCTCCCTGTTAATAAAAGAGGAGGAAACTACATTTTATACACTGCTTTCACCCAGCCATGAACTGCTGGTTTTCTGGTGATGTTATTTGTTCAGAGGGCAGCTCTAAGTTTGGGGATGTTACCGTGACTGTCTGTTTTCAAATGCCACTGCTCTCAGGTCATTTTAATTTATTCTTTTTGAACCTTTCTGCTCATGCGGACCAACAGATGCAACACACATTTAGGTTGGAGTGCTAGATTAGTCTATGATTATGAGGTGTAGAATATTTTGTAACAATGTAGAATATAGCCTCTAAATCATGAGTAACGTACAGTTTGACACTGATTTTACACACAAGTCTAGGATATGAACCAGTTTTGTTTTTTTTAAATAAGCATCAAGCAATACTTTCGACTGCCTGAAGAACACTCTGATATTAAAGCTCAGCTCCTGCACTGAAAACAAACAAATCTGTCTGCCATTAGGAATAAACAAACCTGACAAAGACAATAAAAATGTCCCTGTAACATCATTCTAGCGTGTCTCATTTTCATCGGTTTGTGTTTGGAGCGTTGCACTGATTTGCATTGGAGCCACTTGCAATAAAAGCTGTGGTGTCACAGAGATGAATGGCATAAATGCTGGCCTCCGAAGCTACAAGTTATGAACATGCGCGAATCTCCGGAGACCTCTGCTTGTGCCAGATTTCCCCAAAACCCTATGGAGAGAATTTGTTTTAAAAAGGCGTTGCTCCAGCTAAACCAAATACATTTCCCTTTCTCGATCGTGAGACTCCTTGTATGATCCAGTGAAATGCTGAGAGGTTTTTCCCCTTCAGCCTGCTGCATCAGAATGGCTTTCAGGGATAATTCAGATTTGCCTTTTTCATCCGTGGGATACTTCAGGCTATGAGGTGGCTTTAATTAAATGTTCGAACGTATTCACACTCTGAGAAGAATTCGCATGAGCCTACCCAGCTATGCCTGAAAGAAACACTAGAAAAGCCTTTATATTCCTCCCGCTTTTCCAACAGGTAAGAATAAAATCTCAGGCCAGTATGCCAAAGCTGCAGCTGATGACTGACAGAGCATGACGCCGGCAGTATCTAAATGGGTCAATTTTGAAGCTAATAACTGTGGCGACCGTTTTTAATTGGAATAAAGTTTAGTTATCGCTTGAATGCTAGCAGAGTACTTCAAAAAGACACTTTCTCCCAAATTCGACCCAGAAACATGCGTGTACCTTTGGTGTGACATTTATGCAGAGGATTACGGCTGCTCTCATCAGGAATCCGTCTCATCCAGTTTCCTCTTTCCCGAGGACCCTTTTTCTGAGCGACTCCACCACTGCAAGTCAAATTCCTCTTTGATGTGACAAGGCTAAGAAACAGAGCACATGACAGTTGATTTAGACCTAGTTAAACACAACGCTGCCTCAATATTAAATATTCACTGGCTCGGTTCATTCTGAAGCTGCTTTGTTTCCGCTGACGACCGTCTTTTATAACTCCGGAGCAGAAAATGCAGAGTGAATTTCCTCCCATTATTTTTAACAAAAATGTTGGTTTAAAAGATCTTTGGTGTCGAAGGAATATCAGTGATCGTTATCAAACCCGAGAGGATACGTTCAAACTAAGATGCTATCAAAACAAATTCAGTTGTGAAATGAACGTAATCCCCACTGAGACATGTTTTAGTGCAGTTTCAGAAATAATCTGCATTTACTAACAAACACAGGCCTGTGTCTGAAAATTACAGTGAAAATCTCACTGAAGAAGACCAAAGTGCTGGGGGGGAAAAAAAGGGATAAACTAAGTGAACATCCAAAAAGTCTGAAAAACGAGTTGTGGCTTCCATAACGGACCAACTCATTTCTCATGGTGGATGAACTTAAGAAATCGTTGTTTAAATGACTTAAAAACAAGAATTGGGCACAAGACTGCCCTGTTTTGCTGCCAGTGCTACTCGCACATTGCAGTGGATGGAATAATGAAGGAAAACTACCTCCAAATTCTTCAACAGCACCTCAGATCAGCAGCTAGACAGATGAAACTTTATGTAGAATTGGGATCAACACAATGACCCCAAACAAACATCAAAACTGGTTTTGGAATGGATAAAGCAACATTACGTTACTGGAATAGCCTTCCCAGTTTAAATACAGGAGGAGTGTGGAAGCTAAGCATAAATGTAAGTGATCCTTATCCCCACTAATAGGTTTCTCCTTTGCCCATGCTCCTCTTCTCCAGAAATTTTACTCAAATCTGATCTGGTAGTGTTTTTAATCTCGAAGACAAACAAACGGAAAACGTTCCTCGCCTTGGCTCTTGTCTCGGCGGAGGAATAAAACATGTCTTTATCAAACCAGACCGGTTTTTAAAAGGGCAAACACGACTTCAAAGTCTCCATTTTAACAAGATGTTTTGACAACAACGAAACCCCTCGACAGAATCAACACTGAGCTGGTTGCTCTGCAAGTTAATGCTGCTTCTTGTACCTGTCTGGAAGACTTGATCAGCTTTGCAGAGCGCAGACTGGGCTGGCTGACAGCTGCCGCCTTCTCTACTCGCTCCAGCAGGATCCTGGTTCTCGGGATGTGACTCCACGAAACGCCGAGGCCGGGCTGCACTTCCCCGCTGCCACTTCTCGTTACATGGTTTGTTACCTGTGGGCCCAGACACCATCGTGTTAGTTTCTTCCCTCACTCTCAGGAGATTATCGCACCATGCTTTGGTACAGCTTCCCACGCGTAACACAAGCTTTAGAAGACGGAAGATATAAGTGGGACAAGCAGATCGTCCCACTTTCATTGAAATGGGACATCATCAGGCTACCAAATTATCTTTATCTCCCTTCAAATAACTTCATCACTTGAGGTGAAGATCAGTTTTCTTTGGTGCATGCTTTTTAAACGTGCATACTCCTTTTTTTTAAACATAATTAAAACCTGCAGTTCACTAAACAGGGTTGACATTACTTTAAAACTATTTTTTTGAATTATTATAATCGTATTTATTAACCCAAAAAAGCAGTAAAATGTTTAGTTTTCTCAGAAAGAATAACAAGAAGTAGTTTGTGTAGACTTTAGATTGACACTGGAAGTGCATCTTGCATTTAGAGCAGCACACATCAAAGACTGAGTCATCCGTACCAAAGCAGCAACGTTGAAGTCCTTTGCCATCGTCTTAAGAGCTCCTGCCACTTGTATCATCAAGGACATGCCTGGAGGCAAAGGAAGTTGTAGAGAGGTTAGTTCATGTACAGAATACTCTCAGGCTCTGTCACAGGAACTTTCAAAGCAACTCAACAGTAGCAGCTCAAGCTAAATTTATTACAGCGAAATTTGCATTCCTAAAAATTGCTCGAGTTGACTTAAAAAAGCTGCGGTTGCTTGTTGAAGCTTGTAGCGATGCCCATGACGGATCTGTCACTTTAGGTACAGACATTTGTATTTCACCAGTGCATCGAACTGTAAAAGCTTGTTGTTCCAAAGTTTCCTAATAAAAATCTGCAAAAGTAGCAAGCTAACCTTTACATTTGGTGCTAAATTACACATATTAGCAGGCTAACCGATGGCTGGTGTCTTGGTATAGCACTACCAAATAAGCTTGGTCGCAGCTGACAAAATAAAACGACAAAAGCATGTGGTGGTGGTAATCATGTGGCAGAAAGTAACTACAGATGGTGCACTCATTTTCAGTCATTTTAAGGCTGAAATGGTGCATGAAATATAAGGAACACTCTTTAATTGTAGCGAGTATAAAAGTCACACGGATCATATCAACATGCGTTGAGATTTTCACCTTCCTCTATTTTTTAAAATGCGTTTTTAATGTTTTTCAGTTGCTTCCTGACTGTTTTTGCTTTTAAATTTGTCATCTTGTGATCTGTTGCATGTTTAATATCTTACCAAATTCATAACCATAACAATCCAAACATTACTCTGTGCTTTGAATATTCCTTAATTAAAACCTTAAAAATGTTACCTTTTTCTTCAGAAGTAATATGAACTCTACTGTGTGCCAAACCCAAATTACTGGATACAAATTTTCCACTGTGCTGTTCATTACTGTAATTAGTTGAGCACAGCAGCAGTGTGCCCGAGCTCACAAATTACATTTGGAATTATAATCCAGCAGTAAAGGGCTGACTCCTTTTCTAAGGTGTGCATAGGAAACATTCAATGAATTCCACAGATGGTGGGCTGTAAAAACCAAAGACGTCCTTATTTACTGAAAGGAGTGCATTTGCTTCATCTATAAAGAGGACCTATTATGCTTTTCTTATTTTCTGCTGGATGCTCATATTTAAACGCAGCATTTAAATGATCTCGAGCTTCAACCTGCTCCAAAGACTGTTTCAAGCAGTTTTCTACTCTCAGCTCTGGATGACGTGAGCGAGTGTGGATAACTTTAATATGGCTTCCTCACCAACACTCCTCTCTCACTGTTGTTTGGCTGAAGCACATGTGTTAAACTCAAGGTCTGTGGGCCAAATCCAGTCCTTTGCTAATTTTAATGTGGCCTTAATGTGTAGTTTCTTGAAAACTGCAGGCTGTAGGTTTATTAACATTCCCAAAAGTAAGCTAAACAAACACCTCCTACTGTCAGTGTTTGTTCTTGATTGAACAGAATCATGGTTATGCAACTTTTTCATTTTTATTTTTTATATGCATGCAAACTTAAAATCAATGATTTGTTTACTCTTTTAATCCATTAACACATCACTGAACTACATAAACTATAAGGATAAATGAACAATACCACCTACACCTCATACCTACAGGAAGTGTAGATGTAAGAAATTTCACGCAGTGGTATCTTATTACCATACCGTGCTCAAATTCAGTGAGCTCTTTCGAACAGCCCATCCTTTCACAAATATGTGTAAAGACAGACTGCATGGCTAAGTGCTTGATTTAATACACCTGTGACTGAAAACACCTGAATTCAGAGGTAAGAAATTTAGCCAAATACTTCTGTACACGTAGTAACTCCAGCTAAAACTGAGTTTGACAACCCTGGTTTAAAGGAAGGTGGCCTTAAAGGAAGAGGAGCTAGATACATGTAAACGTACCACATTTTTCAGACTATAAGGCGCACTTAAAATCATTTAATTTTCTCAAAAATCGACAGTGCCTTATAATCCGGTGCATCTTATGTATGAATTCTGGTTGTGCTTACTGACCTCGAACCGATTTTATGTGGTACACGGCTCAAAAATCTGTCAAAAAATGTTTTAGTACGACTTTGGTAAGCTACGAAGCCACCGCTTGATGGATTGTCGGAGCATTACGGCTACCGTAGTCAGGAGCCTTGCAGAGTAATCTGGGTCCAAAACTCCTCCTTCAGGTCCCAAAGTCAAACGAACACTGCGGCATCACTGAGAGTTAAAAACTGTCTAAATTCTTTCATCTTTAATAAAATGATCAGCGTTGCTGCTTTACCAGGTGTAACAATTAAGTTTAACATCCAGGCATCCATGAAAACAGAATTTATTAAATTTAACAGAGTTAGAAGTTAGCAGGAAGTTAGCTCGCTAGTTTCCACCTAAACATGATATAGCATGTTCTGACTGAGAGATTTCTGAAAAAATTCAAACGTACAGCTCTGCTATCACTTCCAACATAAATGAAGACAGAAAACTAAACAGCAGTGACGTTTGTAGGGTTACTGAAGTTGGGCTAGCTGGTATATAATGATGTGCTACGTGATCGCTAGCGACACAGCTATGTTAGCATAATAAACACAGTGAAGCTGGAGGATGAACGCTAACTTTTTTCCACTCGATAAAAGTTAACGTGAGGGTTCCTGATGGTTAGGGACAAATGCAATCGCATGGCAGGATGCTGTAAACGGACCAAACTTCAGTCAGGAGAACAACTGAGATAATCCATCCACAATACGAGGTTAGTCATTAATATACTGCAACAACATGGGAATAGAGCAGCTGCGAGAGAATTCAACATTAATGAATCAATGGTACGGAAGTGGAGGAAGCAAGAAGAATGAGTTGAGTAAAGTTGGACTTATTTGACTGTTTTGTTTCGCTTAATGCGCCTTATGTATGAAAAATACGGTACTACAGAGGATTCCAGGAATAAAAATGTGGAGTTGAAAATGAGGCCGAAAGGTTTCCAGGTAAGAGAAATGTTATTGTCTTCATGTGTTGTGATGTTATCCGATAGTTTGGTTTCATTTTTTGGATTTTCTTCTTCTGGTTTTGGTTTTCTCTTTGAATCGAGTTATTCAGCAATCAGGAGCTGCACTACACAGACCAGCAGAGATTGCAGAGTGCTAATAGCTTGCATTGTTATGTCTTTTTACAGGCAGGTTTATTTTAGATAAGAACCTTTGAATTTTGGTGCACTGACTGTCAGTTTAATTAGATGACAGTTTTGGAGCTTTCTACAAACATTACAAATTGAATGAAGTTCACTTGGATTATGAATTTCAATTATTTTGAGTCCCAAGAGGCCAGACTCGAGTTTAAGCAATTACATATTTAATGAAAACAGCTCTATTTATAACTGACAGCAGAGGTTCGAGCTCATGCTTAAACTGTAATGGTTTGCGGTTTAATGTGACACCACAAATATTAGTGTGTTATTTTGCCACTTTCTTATGACTGGCTGTCATGCTTCCACAGATGTGTTTAAACGTGTTGTGACATTTATTTTCAGTTTTATGGCTGAAGGTGTAAAAACAGCCTGAGGTATGATTGACTATGATGGACCAGCAGAGAGAGATATCACCTTCATTCTGTTTGCCTCCCAGTAGAGGCGAGATAACAGCTGACACAGAGTCCACAATCACCGCCTTGACAGAGCCGCCGCCAACAGACGCCTAATACAAAATGTGACAAAATTAGATTGCTGAAATTTGATTCGTCTTTCTACAAAGGTTCCCCAGCTACAGAAAGACTGCTGGTGTATTTTAAGCGAAATAAAAAAGCAATTGTCAACAAACCTGCTGAAGCCCACCACTGCGAAGACTGTACAGACAGTCGAGCAGAGTGTAAACGTCAAATAAACGGAAGACGTGGATCCTCTGAAGAGCTTCCATCTGTAAAGCAGAAGTTGCTTGTTTTTATTTTCCTTCAAATAACCCAAAATTTTCAACGCAGCTTCAGGTAATTCACCTGCTCTTCTGTGTTGCTGGTTTCAGCCTGCAGCATCTGAAGCAAGCGGCTGGCAGCCAGCCCTCCTGTCGTATCGATATAGATCACACTCTGTTTCAGCTGGTAAGAAATGTGCACTGCAACACCGAAGCACACCTACAAGCGAAGGGAAGCATGTCGGGGATAGTTAAAGTTAACATGAACAATTTGTTTCGGTTAAACAGCGACTCTGGAAGGTGCATTTTCTTATTCTACGGGAGAACGGGGAATTCTAAAAAGGAGTGAATTTATGAGGCTGAAATTATCAGTGACGGAGAGGTAAGGTAGGAAATGTTCACCTGAGATTTGCCACTTCCCGGGCCTCCCGACAGCTCTGTTATCTCTCCAGTATACAAGCCCGAATCCAGCAGTTTATCTAAGCTGCAAGAAACAAGGTACAATTCATTACTCACAACTGCCATCCAATGTAATAAACCATTAAGTGCAGCCGTAGAGCCGGCAAAAACTGCAGCTGGGTAAACATAATACAAACTGAGTCTCACTCCAGACTACTCTTAAGATACTCGGCCAATTCTTAATTCCAGCTGCCGTTTGATTGCTTCTTGTCAAGCTCAGGCACCAACTGCAGCTTTCAAATTCATTCAGAAATCGTTGGTTTTTCATTAACTGCTTTTTGAAGGATTTTGCATCTTTCTCAGTGCTTAAGTGAGCTGTTGTTTTTCTACAGGTTACAAATCTATAGAGCCTGAGTTTTAGTGAGTCACAAAACATCATTCGCTTTTTAATTAAAACAATTAGATTGTCTGATGTGGTTTAGATGTGCAGCAATGATCTATACCTAGAGCAAAAGGGATTGCAAGTCTGTTTCTTTGTTTTACATGTACCTAAAAAAGGTTTGAGATACAATTTTCTAACTTTAAATCAGGCCACAAGTAGAGTGTCAAGAAAAAGTCCATTTGTTTTCATCCTTTTTTTATTCAAAACGAAAACTTTTTAAATATTTTATTTTCAGTACGTGTAAAGTGAAATATCTCAAGTGTTTTCATGATGATGGCTCATGGAGTATTTTCTATGATCAATCAAAAATGAGTCCGACTTCTGTGAGGTTATAGTCCTTGGTTGGAACTGTTTTAGTTCTTACTGCACCAAAGCATCAATGTCATTTGAAGGCGATCAGCTTGCTACACCTGCTAATGTATTGAGGGTTTGCTTTGATAGCGGTCCCACAGTGCAGGTTAGTTGGGTGGTCAGTCACGGTAGTAGCACGGTCAGCAAAGTGCTGCTGGAAAAGGAAATCGGTATCTCCACAAAACTCCTCAGCAGTGCTGGGAAGTGATCCTGGTATCTGGCTTCATTGACTTTGACCAAATAAAGTTGCCCAGTCACCAAAAGCACCAGCAAATGAGCCACACCGAGTCATTACCAACTGCAGAAACTTCACACGGGACTTCAAACACCTTTCGGTTCCTTGCCATGTTTCCTCCAGAGACTACGACTTTGATTTACAAATGAAATGCAAAAATTTACTTTCATCTGTAAAAAGGACTTCGGACCACTGAGCAAGAGTTCAGCTCTTTTTCCTTTTAGCCCAGATTACACACTTCTGATGTTGCCTCTAGTTCAGGACTAGCTCGATATTAGGAATTAACATTAGCAATGTGACAGCTGTTGCTCCGGTCCTGATGTCGTCTGTAAGTGGTGGCTTGTGATGAAGTCACACCGGCCTCAGTCCTCCGTGTGACGCTTCCTAAAGTTCTAACTGGACTTCTAACCAACTTTCCATAAATATGCTTTGGTAAGGAATGCTGCAGGCAGCCAGCTTTTTCAGCAATTAATATCTGTGTCTCACCCTCCTTGGGAAAGTGTTGATGATCTTCATTTGGACAACTGCAGAGTCAGCAGTCTTCCCCGTGATTGTATGGCTGTGTGCACTGAACAATAACTTACTCAAACTTGAAATAGAATATTATAATAATATGAGATACTGGGTTTCCGATTTTCAAGAGCTTGAAGTCATGAATGAATGAGTTCAATTCGATTTGATTTATATTGCTTCAAATCACAACACCTGTCACCTTAAAGTGCTTTATATTGTACATTGTAAGCTAAAGACTGGATAATATTAGAGATGAAAATCCAACAATCAGATGATTGACAACGTTCTTCTGACACGAGGAGGAAAAACTCTCAACCGTAAAACAAACCTCAGTCAGAATCAGGCTCAGGGAGGGGCTTGACGTGGATCAATGAATGAATGAAAGGTTTTTTTGAGACATACAAGTATAATTTAAATAAATAACAGAAGATATAAAGTCTAATTTTGTGGCATGAACATCATAAAATCTCATGTGCAACACAAACTGAAGCTATAGCCTTTAAATGGTGTGCAGAAATATTCTCAAGTGTAATTAAGTACTTTAAAAGTAAACCTTTCACATTATCGTTCTCAGTGGAAACCATCCCGGTAACATATTATTGTGTGTCCTCGAGTTAGCGATGCATGGCGACGTGATGACAAAATTGTGGCCACAAGATATGGAATCTGTTGGGGACACATCAGTATTCAGGGTGACTGATGTGAGCACATAGGATGACAGTCACTGATAGTGGGCACAGCTATGATGTCTAAATGTTCAAAGATAGTTTCATGAAGAGTTGAGACACTTAAAACAGCTCCTTTTTTAAATTATTCATAAAGAATCTTTGTCTCTATGAATAAAAAACAAGGGCATAAATAAAAAGTCTGCTCCTAAAATCGGCTGTTTATTCACCGCAGCAGCTCAGTCCTGTAGAGCTATTATCACATGAAGCAGACAAACAGGAAGTGAGATAATATCTCAAGATAACCAATTTTTTTATTTACTCACACCAAACTTGGTTTTTGAACTCGACACCCTTTGAGCTGCAAACAGTTCTGAAATCATTCCTCACTTATACATTTCTATATTAAACTGTTTCCATCCCAAATAGATTCAAGTGCCAGTCAGAGATGCTACTTTCAACTATATTTTTTCACATCAGTATAGTGAGTGATGAGAGTGTGCTTAGGATTTACAGACTTGTCAGTCTTGCTGTGGGTTTCATTGTTGCTGTGCAAGTAAATCTCCCCCGAGTTCCCCTTTTACACGCCCTGGGTCGTTTATACGCAACCTCTTCGACCCCGGTGTATCCGCTCTCTTTATGCGTTCATGCCACAAGAAACTTAAGCGGTATATCACCAGAGCTCCATTAATTTCCTACTGAACTGAGTGAGCAGCGGGCTCGACTTATGTGATGCTACAGATGTGATTAAAAGGAAGGCCATGGTCGAAAGTTTCACAACCTGCTGTCAACATCTCATATCATTCTGGGGCTGCTTTTTAACCTCATCCTTACAACCTGACTTCACATCAGAGTTCTGCCGAGCAGGAGCAGAACGCCTGTCAAGTTTGTTTACAGCCCTGTCCATAACTTAAAGCTTGAAATACTACAGAAATGCATGATTCCACATCTGTGCTTGGAGGGCTGCTCCGTCCTTTACTGGGGCACCGATAAGCTCACACATGAGTCAGCTGATTTTGGTATCTTTCTTTTTAATTAATGCTAAGTGCTTACTTCATCAAACTTCACGGGGTAATGCAACTGTCAAGTTCTCATAAACAACGCTGAAAAAGCAAAAACAATCCAATAGAGTTGAAGATGCTATCAGAGCTTTTCCCAAAGCAGAACACATCAAGCAGTGTTTCTCAACTCCTTTATAATATCTCTTAATCACCTCAAATGACCATTTGGGCTCATTACTGCTTGGATTTGTTATGTCTTATGCATCTACAATTATTCTGACAGGTGGGAGGAGTAATTCAAGATGCCAGGGGTTACAGCAGGTACAAACACCCTGCCATGTTCTGCACAGACAATGATGCACGATTCTCCCAGCTGAGTCATCAGTACAAACGATGAACAACTCCATTAGCAGAAAAACATGTCTTTTAGATAAAAAGTCAAAAGGTACAAATCCATTTCCATAAAAATGTAAAAATAGCCAACTGCAACTCTCAGTGCATTACTTCATTAAGAAGCATCAAATCATCGCTATGGTTTATGGAAACCTGATAAAATCTCGAGCGGCTTCACCTCAGTGTTTATTTTAAAATCCATAGTGTGCACCTTTGTTCCCAACTGTAACGACAAAGTATTTTATGCAGCTCCGATTTTCACTTAATTTAAATGGAAAAGGTAAGCAATATGTATGAAATACAGAACAGGAAGAGCATTCACTCTCAAACTGAATTACTACGACCAATGGCCATAAAATTGCTAATTCTCCAATCATATAGACCAGCGGTCCCCACAGACCGGTTTATGCTCGACAATATTTTCACGGACCGGCCTTTAAGGTGTCGCGGATAAATACAACAAAATAAAACTAGTACCCGTACTGAAAAAAAGAAGATTTATTCATAACACACGTGAAAAGACCCAGGAAAACAGAGTTAACGATAAAAACGATAACAAAATAACGCTGAAAACCAATAAAAACCCTGAAAACCAGACATTTCACATCTGAGCCTTAACTCTCACGGACCGGTACCGGTCCGAGGCCCGGGGGTTGGGGACCACTGATATAGACGACTCCTCACTGAGAAATATTAAGAAAACTGTCAGCTGAAAGTTGAGGAAACCAGAAGCTGCTGCAGGCGAGAAAAACAGAGTTTTTGGTGTGTTTTGGTCGATTTTTTTGTATTTTGTGTCAACGCTGACGGCTGAGCCTAAATGCTTACTGAGTATTGCCCCAAATATGTCGATAGCAGACAACACCAAAAACTGTCAGCTGGTTCAGAAACTGACAGCTGCTGGTAACAGAATACAAAGTCACATGTAGACTCCTCTTATTCTTCTTACATCACTTCTACTTTAATGACCAAAAAAAATAGAGTCATTTTATTCTGCAGTATCAGTTTATATTTTAATCATACAGTCAGGTCTGTTGACAATGAGGCAATTTTGTCTTCTCATTTTGTCCCGCTACATCTCACCCATGGATTTAAAATCAAACAATGAATGTGATTGAAGTGCAAATTCCACCTTTATTTCAAAGGGTTTAGCAAAAGTATTGCATTAACTGTTCAGTAATTAAAGCCATTTTTATACAAAGTCCCTCATTTTCAGAGGCTCAGAAGTAATTGGAGAATTAACTGACAAGCAGCGTTATGGCTGGATGAGACTCGTTCTTTCCAAAAAACCTGAACTTTATTCCAAGTGTTGAAGTTGCATTTAGTAGCTGTTCACTGTTCACAAAGATATGACGATGGAAGTGAAGCAGAGCATCGTTAGATTGAAAAACCAACTAAGACATATAGAGAGGTGGCAAACAGTCAGCTTCCCAAAACTGCAAATGCTCTGCTCAGATTAAGCAAACGCTGCAAAACTGACGGGATGGA